AAATTCAGTTGGGCTGCAACTTCTTTTGAGGAGACAGATGGATTGTTTTATTGCACCTAATTAACAATAAATTATTAAATGATGAATAGATCAGTAGTTGTAATCATGTAAAATTTTTACTGCTTGCAAAATTGCCTACTCATATTCATTGGGTCTATCACCATATTGCTGTCTACATCTTTTAAAAGAACCATATTCGCCCAAGTTTTTATGCAGCAAAGAAAAATACCTCAAACTAGGTTGTTGCCGCTCTGGATAACGCTGCAAGTATGTTGCAGCAGCCATATGTGGGCATTTCGATGAGAAGTGTAGTAAATTTGCATCATATCTCTTTGATCTGCACTTGAAAAAGGCATTTTCGCAATACAACTAGCATAAACCTAAATGACACTACATGAAATAAGTCAACCTTTTGTTCACAACAAAAGAACGTTTTGTTTTTCCAAAGCACTCTTCTCAAAAAATTAAAAATTGTATTTTTAGGAGAAATGTGATACTGTACCACTATGTGTGATATATCGTTGTAAAGAGAAAAAAAGACGTAATCTCGAAATGTGAAAATTCAAAATGGCGCTCATTAGAAAAACTAAAGTTGCCACGTGTTTCTCAGTCATCTTGAAAGTTATTAAAAACAGGATGTCATATTTGAAATCTCCATTACAAAGTGTCCGAATAATGTGTTAATTAGAAATGGGTACTACGATTAGTTTATCATAAAAAAATTAAAAACGAAAATCAGACATTTTCGTTTTTTTGCGATAACTTCAAAACTATTAAAGATATTTCAAATTTCTCTTCAGATTCTTATTCAGCACGAAAATTGGCAACTTTGCTCTCATTTAACCAACTTTCTATCTCTTAAGATAAGTGAGATCCACTCGAAAAATGGACACCGTGTATATGTTCCTAAATCAGATGTTCATTGGTTACGGATCTGGCGGTCAAGTATGAAACGTTGGACATGTAAATTAAATTGTTTGGGGCTAAGCTTTTTAAATGAGTTTGGTAGAGAATTGTATAGATGGGCAATGTTATAACTATAGGAACGCTCATAAAATACCGTTTTATGCATCGGCGGAGTGATCAGCATCGAAAACCTGGTATTGGAACTGAAATTGATTTTCTCATACAACCACTGTGGAGATTTATTGAGAATTATTTTGTGGTATAAGGAGGCAGCGTGCACAAGTCTCCTGTTCTCCATATTTAACCAATTTAGTTCATTTAATTTGTGGGAGACATGTGCATATCGCCTTAAACCATAAATTAATCGAATGCATGAATTTTGAATTTTTTGAATCTTGTATTTGTCAGCAGCATCTAAACATGATCTATAGAGAGTATCACAATAAGTGAATTGCGAAAGAACCAGTGACTCACAAAGCATAATTTTAAGGTGTTTACTAAGACAGAACCGATTATTGAATATTAATTTTAAATTTAAATAGGCTTTCCTCACCATTTCAGATACGTGCTTTTTAAATCTGAGATCAGAATCTAGAACCACTCCAAGATTTTTTACTTAGTCTTGGACATGTAACGGCATAAATTTCTACAGCAACCTTATACCTACTTCTAACATTACTTTTTCCAAACAACAGCGCTAGCGACTTTGAAGGATTAATGTATAATCCATGTTCTTCAGACGTACGAACAATTCTGTAAATATCATAATTCATGTGCTTAATAGCCTGAGCGATGTTGTCATGGGGAAAGTCATAATGAAGCTGCGTGTCATCTGCGTATTGATGAAAATTGGCGTGTTGTAGACATTTATAAAAATTGGAGGGGTATAATATGAATAATAGAGGACCCAGAATAGAGCCTTGTGGGACCCCACAGCAAATCGGTAGTGCATCAGATTTAGTATTATTTAGTAGTACCAGTTGCATACGATTTTTAAGATAATTTACCATCAACGTACTTGCATCCGAGCTTAGGCCAACATAATGTAATAAAACTTATTAAAATTTCATGACTAATGGTGTCGAAGGCCTTGGAAAAGTCAAGCGTTACTAATAGGGAGAGTTTATTTTTATCACTTGCTGCGAATATATCATCCGTTAAGTTTAGCAGTGCCGTGGCACAACTATGGCCTTTTCTAAAACCAGACTGTGTTTTAGGTAGAATCTGATACTTTTCAGTATGATGGTATATTTGAGAAGCTATAACCTTTTCCAAGACCTTTGACAATACAGGAAGTACACTGATAGGGTGTAAGTCATTAAAACTTGTAGGGTTACTGTTTTTGGGAATAGGTACCACCTTAACAATTTTCCAAATATCAGAAACAGAGTTACATGTAAGACACGCGTTGATGATATGTTATATATGGAATTAAAAATTGACAGCACAACAAAAGCATGTCAACACTTATTCCATCTTCTCCAATGGCTTTGGACCTAATATTGTAAAGTATGCTCTCTATATCAAAATCAGACATTTTTGAAAAAGTTAATGTGTTTTGAAAGTTTAAGAGGCGATTATTTCTGTAAAAATTAATTAATTCTTTATTAGACTGCTGGGGTTTAAAAACAAATGCTTCATTTATTAAATTTGGTTGGCTTAAATGTGGTGGGATTGCTGCATTATAAGAAGAGTAAATCTTTAAGGATTTTAATTCTTTCCACAGATTGCATGTTTTATTTGTACGTATCATATAATTTAAATATGCCTTTTTTTGTTTTTGGTTCTTTTAAATTTAGTTTAAAGTTAGCATTACACAGGCGTTATAACCAAATTTTTTATACTGCGCATGCGCAAACCCAAAAAATATCGGTATGCACGGAATCCTTGAACCAAGCCCTTTCAAATGAGCCCTATATCGCCCAAATCGGTTCAGTGGTGTAGAAGGAGTACGTGTTACGGACGGACAGACGACAAAGCAGCCAATAGCGATTTTTCACTGTGAGGAAAATACGCTAATAAAAAAAGGAGTAGATACGACCATCGAAATGAACCAATGGAAAAGTCTCTACTCATACAAATAACCAGTAATGCCGCGAGTTCACGCAAAATAACGGCGCGAAGCCAGATTTTAAATATTCAAATTAAAATCTCATGTGACTAACCTGCGTTGGATCATCAGACGTTGAGAAACGGCACACATTACTGTACTCATCCCTGGGTTCAACATAGATAACATGCCCTACGTTCGCAGTACAAATTACAGTGCTACAATAACGTAACACCACAGTCCGTTGCGCGTCGATCGGTCCGGCGGTAAAATTTCGTAAGAACGGACTTCCGGTGACGTGCTGAGATCCGACCATTACGGTAACAACGTACTGGCCGGCGTGTCGAACCATAAACTTAACTTTGGCGAGGTTCGCGCCGTTGGGGTCCGTCGGCGAGCCGAGTTCGGTAATGATTGCCATCTGGGAGTACTTTGTTTAGCTTCCAATTCGGAAAACGAATACGTTACCTTTTTGCTACCTTCCGATACGTCAATGGAAAGCTGATCGGTATCACAGATGGGGTAAGGCTGACCATTGCGTTGAAAGAAATATATTACAAAACACACAGTTTGACCTACGGGATATGGATCGCTCCAGTGAAACACAACCTTGCAATTGGAGGGCATTAGGTATTTTCCAGTTACGTATTGTAATAAGGAATGTTTCGCTTCGGGTGCAAGAGACGGTTGAGTCATAGCAGCTAAGGTGACCAGCCCTGCGATACTTACAGAGACCACAAGCATTCCTCCTAAGAAATAAATAAGTTACAGCAATCTCTGGTGATTGTTTACCCCATGTCCACGCGTCTTGATGATTGCTCGACTTTACAACTTCCGACCAAAGGTCAGCCTTTAAGGTATCTAGATGTTGTTTATTGATAGGTAACGACTGACGTGCGGCCGACCATTGCGAAAAATCTTTGGTGAACACTTGCTGCGCTTTCGAATCTTCCAACCAGTACACATCCTCCAAGCTGACCACTTCCAGCGTCAGCAGCCTTCGGCGGCGGAAATTGAATTTCATTTAACCGCTTTGAAAGTGCGACACGTACCTGGGATAGTAGTTCTGTAAGTTGTACTTCGCAAGCCATTGCCGCAACACAAGTCTCTGCTGAAGGAGAACGGCGGCCTTCTGTAGACGCTGTTCATCTGGAGCTGGTAATTCTGGTAGGTTATCTACTTGTCCACATTGCGTAAGTTGTGAAATACCTTGAAAAAATGAAATAAATATATTAGATCAAAATCATATTGACCTGATGGTTATCATTGTATAGAAATCGAAACGTCGGTCGTCCAAACTAAAATCGGTCAGCCTCAGATCTTAAAGGCTCCTTTTAACGCCTTAATAAATAAAATAGATAGTTTATTTATCTTTTATCATAAAAATACATTATTAGTCATATACAGGGTGTTTTTTTGGGAGCTTTAGTTAAACGTTTCAGGGAAAGTAAAATAGGTAGGTTTTTAAAAATTTGTACCTATTTGTACTCTGAAGGCCGAATCGATGTAAAATATTTTAAAAATGGTCGCACGTCCGGAAACACCGGACTTCGTTATTTTAAATGGCAACCATTTTTATTGCATTTTTGGATTCTATTACATTAAAAATATTTTAACCAAGATTCTAACTCGAACTGGCCCACTAAAAAACCGAGACGTATAACTTCTCAGAAAACTGTTGGCATATACCAAGCGGCTCAGTTCGTCGTTGGACACTCTGTATACTGTGTAGGAAAATATTTTAAATTCTAAGCCTATGAATAGCGTAAAGATAGGCATGATTTATATATTATTATTATTTGTCTCTCTCTCTTGTTCTAGACCCTCAACTGGCTTGCGCCCAATAAAGGAAGCGGGGAACGGACGTAAAAGAACGTGAAGTGGGATAATGTTTGAAGCAGTCATGGTGGAGAAAGAAGAGTATTCAAAGAAAGCTCTAGCTCAGAAGTTGGTGATGGGGGCAGGCAGGAGGTTAATTTTGCAATTCAGCTATAATGGAGTTTTTCATAAGGGCACGGAATGATTAATTTTCTGTCTTTTTCATCACAACAAAAGTGCTCCTCCGGATATAGCCCATTTAGGCAGTAAGAAATAGCAAACATTTTTTTTGCAAAAGGTCATCCATGACTTTGGGTAGGTCCTCAACTTTATGTAATAAAATAGAATTAAAATTAAGAGACCTTTTGACATTCCAAAGATCCAAAAAAATATGCGTGACCGTTTTCAAAATTCATCACATACCAGCGCGAACTTTACTAATAATCACTTCGGTAATGAAGTAGTTATAAGAACCCAATAATATTAAACACAATTCAACTTGCTGATATGGCAAACGGAAAGTTTCTAGAAAGACCACAGACATTCTCGAGAATTCCCGAATATATTCATGCGAAGTCAGCATCTCGGATAGAACGCGTCACATGCGCTTTTGTTTCTTATCGCCGACGACTAATATTTTCTGGCGCCTCGATTGCGGCTGCTGGCGCCTCGATGTCTGGGACATTCACTACAATATCCTTTTCTTTTAAGTTTTGATACAATATTCCGAGCAATATTCAGAACAGTCGATCTATACTCGTTTCTGATAGCTCTTTTTCTCTAACAGAATCATTTATAAGGTTTTTCTGTCTTTCTTTTACCTCAATATACCAAAAATCCTTCTTCTCCAACTTCAGAAGAGCGGCAGAAATATTACTTTTTCAGAATGAAGCGCCTTTGCTATTCAAACTTCATAAATTTTTCAATCCAACATTCATATTTGCCCTCCATTTTGAAAGATTTTCAGAAGTCGGACAACTGCAAATTTGTCTCAAAGGAAACTCGTACCAACATCTTCATTATTGTTATGTAAGAGATTTTGTGACTTTGTTTTATATCAATTCGGACAATAGTGACTTAAGTGGGGATTTGTATGCCTGCAAATTTCAACATGGTCATATGTAGCGCACACTTATACAGAGTGATCAACCCAAGGATCAACCGACACGGCATACCGATACCGGTCGGTATTGCTATACCGGAAGGCCAATACAGATAAAATATCCGCGTACAGTACAACCTCGTTAATCCGAATAGATTCGGATCACCGCCCTTTCGGATTATCAAATTTTCGGATTATCGCGAAACTAGTGAAAATAATAAATTTGAACACAAGCATTAAGAGATAAACTTTATTCTTTTCAACGTCTTCAGGGGTGTCATCGTTGTTACGAGGAACGAAATTATTTCGGACTATCGCGATTTCGGACTAGCGTGTATTCGGATTATCGAGGTTGTACTGTATAGGCTATTATTTTTAAGTAGGCGGGGTTTCCGAGGTGTTGGTTATTTTAGGGCGCAAAGGACTTCCTTCATTGCTTGAAAATTGCCACCAGCATTTGTTTTAATTTCCCCAGCATTGCATCTCAGGTCCCTTTGTGCCTGATAGTCACATGACGCGCCAGACAGCGTATGAGTGCTTTTGGTGTCTGCGATGTTTTGAGATCTGCGCATGCGCTAAGTTCAAAATTGTTCGATTTGGTTCTGTTTGTCGACGGAAACAGGTCTGTTTATCGGAAACAGGTTGGCCGAGCAGAAACGAGTCTGTACCAGAAACAGGTCAGTTAAGTAGAAATAGGTCTATTAATCAGAAACAGGTCAGTTCAACAAAAACAGCATTGTTCAGGACACCGGCGTACGCAAAGGGGGGGCTGAAGGGGCTACAGCCCCCCCCCCCCCGAAATAATCGACTTAACTACTCAGCGGCACATCCCGTAAGTCGTCAGTCATGGTATAATTATTTAAATGCCAAGCGACAATAAAAATGTTGCAGTTGCTGGAAAAACTACCTTACTTTTTCCTTCACTTACTTGATCTTGCGAATGTGTACGACATACGTGAAAATTTACATACTTTGGTCTTAATTCTCGAGTTTCAGCCCCTCCCGAAAAAAAAATCCTGCGTACGCTACTGGTTCAGGACGAGGTTCAGGAGGTTCGTTTAACCGACCTGTTTCTGACAAACAGAACCGAATCCAATGATCTTTGTCAGCCTTGTGGAATAACTTAATTATTGCAAAAAAATAATTTTCCCAAAAGAGGCAATCGCCACCCGCCCCCCGTCATCAGTCTGAAACAATTTTTCAACTTTTCGAATTGTTACCATCTCTTTCTCGCTCATGAGTTGACATGTGACAGAAAATACAGAACACGTTTTCCTTTTGTTTCACAAACTACCTAATGACGTAAAGATCACCTGTACTTTCTTACAAGCAAAAAAGTAAAAAAAAGTTTCAAAATCAAAGGCTCAGACGGGCTCCCTGGACCCCGCTGGACCCCAAATAAGCGATTGCAAATTTCAGTTGCACGTTGCAGTTAATGAACACGGAGTAATCCGTACTAATCTAATGTACCATATAAACAAGTCGGTTTTTGCGATGATCTATCTCGTGCTGGTGTAACACCCTGTATATTGATGACCCAAATTACAAAATAAACAACAACATGACATAAATAAGGATCGCGTGTGAGTGATAGAAATTGTGTTGATTCGTATAAGAAACAAATTAGAATAATCGCACCTACATCGATTTCAAACAACCTTCAAATAATGCCGCGCATTGTTGACGTTGTGTTTCTATGGCAACCCGGCTTGGACAAGCTATAGAATTTACAAATTATAAACAAAATGTTAATGATTGCGATACGATTTTAAATCGATGCGATAAGTTGTGCCGTTTATTCATAGTGAAAGTGAGGGTAGCAAAAACTCGAAGAATCTTACCAGAAGAGGCACTATCGGACGGTTGTATGGTCATACCAATTGAGCAAATTTCACTTTCTGCATTCCACATTACGAGGCAAGAACGCACGTGGGATATGTGTTTTGTCAGCTAACCGAATACATCATTATTCACGTTGAAGCTTGGCAAAGTAGAAGATTGGGGAAAATTTCGAATTTTAAACGCGTAAAGGCGAAGAGCATTGCAGGAAATATAGGGTAAGGATAATAAACAAAAAGTTCAGGTAACGAACCGACCCGATTAAAACTAGGGACTGCGGTATTTTAACCCCAGTCCCTGGTAGGCACGCGCACAAAAGGGGAGGAATTACCTTTAAACTCAACACTTCGATCTGTGTAATTATTCAAATGCATAATTCTCCCAAAGCTCGCGTGACCCGTTCTCGTTAGCCTAATTAGCGCTAAATTTCTACGTAATTACCTTTGTTTTTAAAAAGTTGTTTATATTTGGAAAATGAATTCTGTTCCAACCACACTTCCAGATCTAAAGGTATAAGAGTGGCATTTTCCTCGGCACGTGAATTACGAAAAAATTTTATTATACAAATTAAACATATTAAGAAAATTATCACTATACACAAAACTTTGGCACAACTACAAGTAGACATAGCAAATTTACATGTTAAAAAACCATTGTAAACATGAATTTTTTGACAAAAGTGTCACTGACACACCTGTCAAGTAGACACCCCATCCGCGCTAATTTGTAAATGGCAACAACGTCCTCGCTCCTCTTTCAGGTGCTGCCCTCGCTCTTCGATTCGCCGAACAAGTTCAAATTCAAAAAATGTTCCGCCCGGACGAAAAGATAACCAACGACAACGATGACGAAAACAAATACATCGCGTACGTCGGCATGGAAGATCTCCTGGAGAAACTCAAAATATTAAACTACGAAGTGGAACTCATCGCCGAGCTCAAGATGAAACCCATCCATAAGTACGCAATTCGTTTATCGGCGCGTTTACGCCATCGCGTTTGTTCCAGGTATTACTTCGTGACGTCGAAAAATCCGGGCGAGCAATTTTACCTGTTCGCGTCTGTGGCGGCCTGGCTGATTAGGAAGTCGGGGCAGTCGATTGAAACGCCGCAGGAGTACGACGATCCGAATATTGTCATTACTAATATTTTGGACAAGCTTCGCGAGAATGTAGGTCATTTGGTTTATAGTAAAGTAGTATTTAAGCGAGCACTACATGGGGAAACGAGGGTTTTTAACAATGTTTTATGGCCTGCAGGAGGTGGGCATGTTAAAGTCGGAAATAAGTAGTTGTAGTATCAGTGTAACAGATAAATGAACGGTTCAAAATTCGTTTTTGAGTGAATTTGAGAATATTTGGAAAGTTGCGCTAATAGGTATGCGTTGTGTGTTGCCTATACAGGGTGGTGACTGCGTAACGCATCATAGGGATTTCAATGTAAAATTCATTAACATGCGATTATTGGCTCCCCAAATTATTTTAGAGCAAAAATGTATTAAAGTTTTTTGTAAAAAATCAACCGTTTTAGTTTTCAATTTTTTTCATATAAAGATGGAAAATTGGAAAAATAAAACCCGGATCTTTTTCAATAATCTGCGATGCCATGGAATTTTCTAAAACAAAAAGATATCCAGTTATCAATTAGCAGCATTCGAATGGATTTTATGATCGACTTGGTTACTGTCTTGCAGTTAATGGCGACTTATTCGAACATTTATTGTAAATTGCTATATTAGGAAACCGTTTTTAGTAATTTGGTCTTTCTTTATGTTGAATCCGCTGTTCTAAATATAATACTTTTTGATAGAATTTCATTTGTTTTATAGCAGACATTCCATGGCATGACGGATATTGGCGTAGTTTTTGTATTATAAAATTCCATGTCATCACAGATTATTGAAAAAGATGGGGGTTTTATTTTTCCAATATTCCGTCTTTATTATGCAAAAACATTGAAAACTAATCCTGTTAATTCGCGTAAAAAATTTTTTTCCTAAAAAAACCTTCATACATTTTTGCTCTAAAATAATTTGGGGAGCCAATAATGGCATGTTATGAATTTTACATTGAAATCCCTATGATGCGTTACGCAAGTCACCACCCTGTATAATCTCCAGACATTGTTGTAGGTGCAAAGGATTCCCAGAGTTCTTTTATAAATTGTATATGTTACCGGCATTTTTGGCGCACGTTTTTTTTTACAGGAAATGAGAGAGCTAATCTCTTGTGATGTATTATAGTTCGAGTGACCGACCGGAACCTGACGTTATTCGGTGCGTTCTACCTGGGACACACTGTATATGTATAAATTGCAAGTAAATCATTGTTAAGGTGACCCAATAAAAAAAACAAAATTAAGAATACCAACGCAACCACCAAAAATATCGTACCACTCATCGGGCAAATTCGAGGACCGTACGGGTGTTGTGTCACCAGTCGCAAGACGTTCAGGCGAAGAGAAAATAGCTGTTTTAGGGGTAAGACAGTTTTCGAGTGTGGAACGAAGAAAAAAGGAATTACCGATTGGGGATGTATAGAAACGCCTCAAAAGCTGCCATTCGATTGTACAGGGTGTCCCACGTTTCGAGACTATATAAGTAATATGGGCGTCATGTGCTCTTTTTGGGTCAAACGTAAATTGGTAAAATGTGCACTCGCTTAAGAGATGCGGGGAGAAAATAAAAAAATCAGAATCAAAGGAACCGTCAGGCCTAACTTCATTTCTTACACCTTATACAGGGCCTTACAAAAACTGTGAACTGAGTAATGCAGCTGGTTTCTATGACTAAAAGTAAGAAAAAAAATTTAAATAACCATATGGCCTAAAGTGGCTCGTTACTGCTACTTGAAGTTTTTTTTTATCAAAACGATAACAATACATCCTGTATATTTTAATCTGAAATGATATGATGTTAAATTCTCATTTAAAAAATATATCACGCCAGGGATGATCTTCAAAAAAGATTCAAGTGATTCAAAATATTTAACAAAGACTCAAGAAGTATAAAAAAAGGTTTAAATGATTCAAAAAAATACACAAACATTTCAAACAGATTGTTACATTTTTGAAATCTTTTTAAATCAATATAGAATTTTTTTGAATTTATTGATGTTATATTTTTGAAAAAATAATGCTATTTTTTAGATTAAAATATACAGGGTGCTCCATTAAAAAAATTAGGTGAGGTCTTACAAGTTTTTTAGCTGTCCCAGTATACTTATTTTGTAAACGGCGGATTGTTTAAGTCATACAGAAAGTTTTATGATTTGCGATTTTGTGAAAATTTTTCTGTAAGTATCTCTTTTTGACTAAGAAAATATAGAATAATTCTGAAATTGCCCCTTCCTGATTTTCACCCGTATCTCTTAAGCGAGCGAATATTGTAAAATTTTGGTTTTGCCATTTTAAGTTTGGCCCAAATTATTTGTTCGGATAGCACTAACGATTATGAACATACCCTATAAAAGTGTTGAAAAAGGGGACACCATACATCTCGCTCGTCCGTTTCCACCCCTCTAACACTAGGGCAAAGTGGAAAGGTGGGATCGGCGAGGAGAGCATAGCGCCTCTTGGAGGGGTGGTGGCAGAATCTGTTTTACGTTCATCGTCGAGAATTTAGGTATTCGTTATGATGGGAGGGAGGTAAGAATTTTTCTAAGAGACAATTTTTGGAGATTGGTCGGTTATAGGTTATGTACTCTTTGGTTATAGTTACCATTTAGGATGTCGACGTAGGGCATGTTTCCCCTCCATAAATTCTAAAGGGCAGGTGGTGGGCGGTGAATGCTAAACCAAAATTAAAGCGCACAGCAATTTCTCTAAGCGGGAACAGTAAAATCGGATTCGGTAGTGGTATCTACGGGAAAGCAAGTGCAGAAAGGTGAAACAATACCCCCCCCCCCCTCCCGGATAATTAATGAAACGGAAAGTAACAAAAAGCTTACTTTGCAATAATTAACCGGAGGGGTAGAAATTGAAAACGTAGCTTGCGAAAATTGGTCTTACAATTCCAATTAATTAAGAGCGCTTCTTTTGAAACCACTCACGACGATTAAGACGCTCCTTATATTATGCTAGTAACTCCCTCCACCCCGGAAGTGGTCACTTAACTACTACGTTCTACGTTAATTTATCATACCATCTCTAACTTTTTCTTTCAGAACGTTACCATAGATTTTTCGTTGAGCAAACTAAAGCAAGGTGTTGGCGAGCATGTCGTTTTCGTTCTGAACACTTTGGCCGACAAGGCTCTGTCATACGTCGGTTTTCAATGGAAAAAGTTGGTAGGTCTTCATGCCGGACGAATCTAACACAATAGTTTTTAGGCCAAAGACTCCCGAAGAGAAAGATGACGAAACCGAAGTGATCGACGATGAGTGCGAGATAATCCTCGATCGCGTTGAAGAGGAAATGTTAGCGGCGTACAGCGACGACTCCGAGGAGGAAAATATTTTTAATATGAACAACCTTAACGGAACAAAAAACGGTCATAATCACGAATTTGATATCGGCGAAAATGTCGATGTCGAAGCGTGGAAGCTGGAGCTGGAACGTGTGTTGCCATATCTAAAGGTGACAATCAAGAATGATAATCGAGACTGGCGCGCGCATTTTGAGCAGATGAAGAGCTATCGCACTAGCAACGATAACTCGTTGAACTTCACCAAAACGCACTTGGACAAATTGCACAAGGACATTGTGGTGACCTTGGAGAAAATTTCCAATCGGGAGCGCTACCTCAATAAAGAGCTGGAGCCGGTTCTCGACGAGTATCGGTTACTGCAAGATCAACTGTCGAAGGTTAAGGAAAACTATCAGAATATTAATGGGGGAGTGATGGAACGGACGCGACACTTGGCCCATTTGTCCGAAAAGATCGATACACTTATACAGCAGATGGAGGAGCGAGGCAGCTCGATGACTGATGGAAGTAGGTAGCAAGGCGGGCTTATGTTATCATTGAAACAGTGGTAACTTCAAGCTCGTCATGTAGGTGTTGAATTTGATTTAATTCCAAGACTCTCTTTAGTGAGGACGCACTGTATGAGGTGCCATTTTTGAAAAATCTTTGTGAATAACTGCGATATCACCGAAAAATTGAGAATGTCAAGTGTCTATGGGCACTTTTTTTTGAGAATCTGAATCTGTTATCAGAATTTCCATAACATGTTAGATGTAGAAGCAGCAGGCTACTACTTTCTTAGTTCTTATGGACGCCATATTGGAGTTTTACGGAATGAGATAGAAAACAAAAAAAGAACTTCATTTGAATGCATTGCCATCATAGCCATGTTGATTCAGCATGATCTAGTTACCCGTGGATGTTTTGTTGAGAAACGCGAACCCTCGCTGACACCCGCCTGCAAACTGAGAGACGGTGCGCGAGGGGGGTGGGGGTGGGGGTTCATCTAACCTCAGGCATCCTTAGACATAAAAGGATAAATGGAAGAGCTGAAAAGCAAATTCCGGCAGGCGCAAGTGTGTCAAAGTATCAAAAAACTGTCAATTTTTGACTTTTGCCGTATTATGACTAAACTATTGTATTTTTTTATGTTAACGTGATTAATTCTCCAAAGCATTTTTAGAAGAAAACGGCACTAAAGCATCGTGTACGTACACCCTTAGTGGGGTGTGGTGCCACTGGTGGTTTTCATTAAAAAATAAATTTTCGCCTTTTCAAACGTGAACTTTGGCCTTTATTCCTGTAGCACACTGTGTACATTTTTGAAACAGGTCTCATTTACGCAAAAAAATTAAATAATTCAATAATCTTTGCTTGAGTGGTGACTTCAAATTTACTTGCAGCTTTGCAGACCTGACACTTGACAGAAATGATTAAAAATTAACCCCCGTAACGCTATAAATTATAAAAATAAAGCAGGACGAACATCCGTTTAACCTTGGACTCTCGAAACCCAAAATATACCTTCTTCCCACACACCCTTTATCATCTCTTTACCAAATTTGTGAATGGAGTAAAATGAAAATATTTTCGATGAAATTACATTTTCAAACTTCAGTCTTCCTTTCTCAGATAAAAATCGATTCAGCTTGTCGACGGACAGCCTGTATGTGTAGTATCTAATGGCAAAATAATAAATGCGATCGATAATCTCTGCACCAAATCATTATAAATACGTCTTCTTGCAGCACCCTTGGTCAACATTAAGAAGGGCATCGCGAAAATAAAAGCGGAAATTTCGGAAATGGACGTCAGAATCGCCGTTCTGGATTGCATTTTGCTTCAATCGAAGATGAAGGAGAAAACGTTGTTAGAGCATGACCTGTATAAGTCTACGAAATATGTTTAATTCCATTATCCGAATAAAGATTAGTTATGCGCTTTGTTTTTAAATTTGGCGGTTATTAATTAAGACAGAAAATAAGGTGTGGCGCCACATTCGCAATTTTCTTTTCGGCTTACCTTGTCATGACAGTGGCGTAGTTAATTTGCGTTTACGTGAGGGAGGTTGTCCATTAACTATACGCGTGGAATTGTAAGCGACGCCAATGCGCCAAATCCTTGGACTTGGTGTGGGCGATCACCTCAATCGGTATTTCCACTGTAGCAACTTACCCTTAAAACTTCTAGTTGAATTCACGTCTTCGGTGAGTACGTTTCGCGTTCAAGCGTCGGTACAGTTCATCGTTGGTGTTGTTTTTAATTGAACAGTTGAAGTTAGTGATCATTTTCACAATCGCCGTAGTTTCTCTAAGACAATACGGGTGAAAATTAAATAAATCAGTCATTAATTAGATGTTTTTCGAGGTATTGTTGTTGTTCCGGGGTCCGGAATGCGTTACTTTAACCCGAACACAAAGGGTTGCCCGTCTCTCCGCGGCGTCATTTTATTATAAAAAGTGAATAAATAATCGAGTGGTGGCGATGAGCAACTGGTGAAAGAAAAATTTGCTAATGGCAGTACCGGGAGGCAGGGGCGGCTCTGCCTCCTCTGCAGGACCTTCCTCAAATTCAGTCTCGTTTAAGCCCATCGAAGTTCCCCAGGCCCTACAGAATGGGGAAAAGTTCATCAAATGGGACGAGGTAAGTCGTTTTTGCTAAAAATATTCGTGCTTCGGAACCTGTTGCAGTTCGTTCATTTATTTTTAATATCGCCCGACCACGCCGTGGTCATTTTAAATTTCTCGCTTGTTACAATAACAAAAACCCCCGGCTTGATAATGTTAACTTTTAATTTTCAAAATGGCACGGGAATTAATGGCGTGACGCCAGATTGAGCTTAAAAGGGCAACGCAGTTCTAGCCTAATTTGCACATTTGCCCTTTTCTTTATTTAAACACTCGCGTGCCTCGTACTCCCCGATCAATATTTGTTAAGAAAAATAACGTGTAAATTTAACAGGCCAATTAGTATATCTACAAAACGGGGGCTGCTCCGCGAGATGCACCTGTTTCGCGCTCTGTAAATATGATCGATAATATTGTAAATAATTGGCGCGTTTCCGTATTTGTGTACTTGTCGTGACGCGATAAAGTTATCTAACTATCGAAAGTGAACAAGATTTTTTTTGTAATTGTGCGATGCTAACGAGGCAAGGTTTATCTACCAAATATTACATATGTCAACTTATTCGAACTAATTAACTAAGTAGTCGTATTTATAATTAATTAATATTATTTCAAGGCAATTTCGAAGCACTACAAACAAGATAAATATAGATACTTTTTGCAATTGCATTCTTTCTATTTTTTTAAACAAATAACAATTGTGTAATTTCTACATACCTAATTACATTACGTGGAAGTGTTGCCCTTTTACAGTGCACGTTAGTGATGCTTTTGTTCTGTTGTTTTCCTACCTTACTTTCTACAGGTGTTCGCTCCTTCTTGCCTTGCCTGCAAGAGGCATTTTTACTATAAAACTCCCAAAACGACTCTAATAGCAAGGTTTTCTGTTATTCATGAAAAAAATTTCATTGAACGATTCGGTCATGAAAATAAATTATTGTTCACAGGCCACTTCGTTTTCTTGAAAACTCGGTTTTTGTTTACCAGAAGAAGCTCCACCGAAAATTACGATAATGGCAAATAGTTCTGTCCGTCGAAGCAAGAACAGTCGTTTGCCGTGAAAGCAATTTTTCAAAGCGGTAGTTATGTAGTAGCTGAATTAGCACGCGGCTTTTTCTTATAGGGCTACGGCTACCTAAAGAAAAAGCTACACCTTTTGTATAACTGAACAGAAGATCCTCCAGGAAGTAAGAATCCCCCAGCAGATGTTCCGTGATGTAATGGTACATTTTAGACATTGCGTTCAAAAATACATTGATCCAGATAGATATCTTATCCCTTACAATGGCGTAACTACATATCCTTTTTCGGCTAATAAAAAATGTGCTCATCAAACAAATCCGTTACAAACTGTGGAAATACGGATGCGGGCGTATAACAAAAGCGTAATCACATGTTCCTTTTTCGATTCGGGTGAAGCAATAACAGACCAGTTATAAATTTTGCATTTTTCATGTGAAGTTAGCAATAACACGTAGGCTTTTGTTTCAGGAATAATTTTCAAGTTTATAGTCGTTTACTTTAGGTATACGAAGGCGATACCTCGGGCGTTACGGTTGTTTAGACAAGTATAAGTATTCAAATTTTGCCTTGGATTTTAAATCGACACAAATCAACCCTTAAATATTGTCAATAAAGTTTATACACATCGGCTTCTTTTTACCCATGTGAAGTTGGCGTCGCCCACATAAAATAATCTGACAAAAATGTGTCCACAGTCAGTGCTACGTTAGTGCTCCAGGACGAGACCCAGGATAAAAGATATAAAACCTGGTATTAGTACAGGCGGTAAGTGCATCGGTCTAAACATTTTGGGGGGGAAAGCTGGATTTTGTTGAAATGTCTCAGGTTAGGTGTCTCGAATAACGTACTAAAAGTCCAGACCCCCAACTGCGCCGCTCATCGAGCTGTGGCACGGTTTTGCCCCCCAAAATCAGTTTTTCGTTAATATCTCGAAATGTAGCAGGCTTAGAGAAAAACTTTTGAAACAAAAAATGTTCCTCGTAAAATTTCCTACACGATAGCTTACTTGCAAGTTAGTCCAGGCCTAACCGATAGCCTACAGCGTTCGTTTGAGTAGTCTAATATTGAGTTCTTTGATGATTTTTTGTACTTATGGTTGTATGGACGCCTAAATTGATGAAAGACGTACTTCTCACTTATTGTACCATAGGATAGCCGATTTGAACGTTAATTTAAGAAATTTCATCAACATTCTGTTTCCTCTCCATTTTTGCACCTGATGAAAGCATCGGTAGGCGTGGAGACTGAATGCAGCGGCAGTAGGCGACGCTCAACGTATGAGACGTACTTCTGACATGTTACCTTGTATGTCTCACCTCGCTCCCACAGAATTTTACGAAGCAGGAAGCCACCATCAATAACGTAAGTTGACTTAGTTTTATCATATTGAGTCAAATCACTCTCTGGGAAGATTTTATAGAGTGTAGATTTGACACATTTTCGCATCCCTTTCTCGTCAAACAGCGCCAAGGGGTATGGTGCCAATTCATACTCCAGGTATTTCTTCAGTTGAGCGTCACTTTTCTTCAAAATTGAAATCCTTTTAAACAGTATTAACGGATCCACCAGACGGTTTTCATCGCGCACTTTCATTGTGTTGAGAGCTTTCATGGTGATCACGCAGTCGCTTCTTCTCATTTTAACGGCTGAAAATTTCATTCCATGAAATAGAAAGAGTGTACACTGCAGGTAGACTGACATATGACCCTGTTCTCTGTCTATTCACTGCAGGAAATTCGCGAAAAACTCGATATTAGACTACTCAAATGAACGCTGTAGGCTAACGGTTAGGCCTGGGCTAACTTGCAAATAAGCTATCGTGTAGGAAATTTTACGTGGAACATTTTTTGTTTCAAAAGTTTTTCTCTAAGTCTGCTACATTTTCGAGATATTAACGAAAAACTGATTTCGGGGGGCAAAAACGTGCCACAGCTCGATGAGCGGCGCAGTTGGGGGTCTAGACTTTTAGTACGTTATTCGGGACACCTAACCTGAGACATTTCAACAAAGTCCAGCTTTCCCCCCCAAAATGTTCAGATTGACGTTTTTTGTGTACTTATCGCCTGTGCTATATCAAAATTTAAGTTTTTTTTTTTTTTTTTAAATTTTTTTTTAAATAAATAAACGTTTAATGAAAATAATAGAACAATAACAAATTACATATAAGAACGGGGTTTTAAAACATAATAAATTTCATCAAAAGAATTACAAAAAAAAGGTAAAGTTCCTAAAATACATTCGGCATTGCCTTTTTGAATTTCTATACCTATCCGTTGGTAAATAAACTGGGTTGAGCGGGACTCTCCTGTTTTTTGCCTGAGTCTTTTACCAATTGCCGCTGTCATCATTTTGGCTTCATTTCCCCGCGGACCCATGGTTTCTACAGCGAATCCGTTAAAAATAAAAGTAGGTTCTAAAGCAGCGTAAGTATTTTTCTTTCTGCGTTCAATATACAATATACTGACGCTTGCAAATGCCCAATTTTTCTTACATAATAATAATAACCAAAGGACTTCCAAGCAAGGGCGATGTTCAGTGCAGCAGAAAAACCGCTGCCTGTTCTTACACTTAACCCTAGAAATTATTCCGATACCTAGTATAGACATATTCTATTTGGTATGAAAACTAATTAGAATTACTAAATTAAAATAAATAAAAAAGTATGAATGTGAACTAGAAAAAAAAATAAATGTAACAAACAAAAAAAATAATATTTGAAGTTTAGGCACGTGACTGATTTTCAAGCAGGAATTTCCGTAGCTTACACTTGAATGAAATTAAAGAAAGTTTTTTAAGGTTTTCGGGTAAGTTATTGTAAATACTTGCAATGCAATAGGAAAAGGAACGTTTAAAAAATTGAGTAACATGTGTTGGCGGTGTTAATAGCCCCTTAAACCTTAAATTCAGATTATGGACATCCGTCCTAAAGGTAATCTTTTCATACAGATAAGATGGCGACCTGTTGATTATAATATTATGGAATACCGTGGCAGCATGCAAAAACCTCCGATTTTTCATATTAAGCCATTTTAATTCCTTTAATTTGTAACTAATTGGTTCAAATTTCCTGACTCCAAATATAAGTCTTAGACAGGAATTTTGCAGCAATTGTATCTTTCTTATATCTGCTGAGTCAAGGAAGGGGCCATAGACAGTATCACAATAATTTAGACCAGACAGCACCATGGCGTTACATAGAGTAGCTTTCTGCATACGAGTAAGCAAGTGTCTAGTGCGGTAAATAATCTTCAAACTCGCATAACCACGTTGTATACATCGGGATATATGATTTTTAAACCGCAG